TATATATTGCAAGAGTGCTTAATAAGTAGGTTTACTTCATTAGGTTATATTTGTAAAATTTTGTTTTCAACTTATATGAAAAGGTGTGTGTTCGCATGAGCGCACGAGGGGGCGTCGCTAGGATCCACCTGGACGCCAAGGAGGCGCCAGCCTGGAAAAGTCTGGGAACAACTGACCTATGAGAACGGTTGTGCGAATTAGCTTATCGCGGTGTGCCCACAGCAAATCTGGAAGTCAAATGTTAAGTAGCTCTCCTATAGAAAGTTAGACATCAGGAAGTATGGGATACTAAGTATAATTTGTGACACAATGAGTTAGTAAATGTGACTAGCTCTCCTATAGAAAGTTGGACATCAGGAAATAGGGGATACTAAGTATAATTTGTGACACAATAAGTTAATAAATGTGACTTGAGCAACAACGTAAACACTTTCGATATCGCTGGCGACCAGGAGGGGCAGGTAGCACTTCTCGCAGTGACACTACGGCGCATGGATGACCGGGCACCAAACCATTGACATCAAAATTTTCCATTGTTATCTGTGGCTGGTGTACCCGAAGCTTTATATCAGCGGTTCCCAAAACTTTTCAGTGACGGAGCACTTAACATCATCCCTTCTGTGGAACCCTTTTCTTTAACAGCCTCCACCCCTACCCAGCGCTAACCGTTGCAGTAGAGGATGTGTAATTATAATGTACTGACAATATACAGAAATGATAATTATCTACATAATGATCTATTGCATAATATCACAATGCAAAAGATATAATACATACTATGATTTGATAATAATAACGAATAATACGAAATAACTACCAGACACATTATCGGATTCACAGTCATCAATCATGCAGAAACGACTTTTCCAGTAGCTCCTATCTTAGTTGCAATACACGCATGAATACTTCGCTAAAACAACTCATGTCCTAACCATAGGAAGACGATGGTGAGGAACTGTGGCGCGTGGATAACCAGGACGAAGGTAGACCAGTCAGCCAACCACCAGGCCAGCCACGGCAGCCCGCACATGGAGCCGGTCAGGAACACCATGACGGGCGCGTTGGCCATCACCGTCCTGTACTCGCTCGAAACGTACTCTTGCGCTGCGGACAGAATCGCGTTTTAATATCTTTTGAACATCATAGTCGAATGGGAGATAAAGTACTTGGGGAATATGAAAATTTAATGCGGTATGTAGTTACAGCCTATTTTTTCGTTTTTTTTTCTGTCTGAAATAAAATCACAGTAAAATGAAACAGAGCACATTGAATGAGAATTACGTGCGGACTGAGTTCTTTATCACTTCATTGATTTGATATACTAATAAAGACAAAAAAGTTAAATTTACTGAAACAAAAATGTGATGCCACGAAATACAACTGTAATATTACATTCCAAATAGCTGCCAACGATTGCACCAGTGAGCATTACCACTATCTCTTTAGATCGACAAGATTCCCTCCGTTAGCAGGACGTGACAGGCGTTGCTGTCATGTCAGCCATCCTAACCCTTCCGCACCCGCCGGGAGACGTTCCTCCATCCTTCTTGCGTCCCCGCCTTCAGTACTTTCACAGAACTTGCCACTTTTCGCCTTTTTTTCATTCAAGAAAGGCTACATTATTTTTCCTATTTTCATTACTGGCTTTATGGTTACAGTTTTAAATTATGTAGGAATTTAAAGTCAAAATCGTGTCTTTACTAACGTGATTTGTCACCTTCCTATCAAAATAAGGTCTTTCAGAAAATTTATATATCGGATAGAATGAATCTCTCTCCTATATGAGACGCTCCAACAAATGAAGAATGTAATGACGAAGTTTCAAGTTCAATTTAATTTAGATAAATATGATATTTTTTTCTCGTAATATTATATTTATTTATCTGCCAACTTGCATCCCTGAGTAGTAAATGGTATACATGCATGATATTTACATTCCATCTTGCTCAAGAGTATATTGAAAACGATATATCCGAATTTCGTTTAGTTATACAATAATCGACGTCCTTGTCAATGGAAAAGACACGTGGAGGTTTCCCTTCGACTTTCCCTTCGACACAACCGGAAGAGATATTCGCCCCAACACAGGCGCTGACGAAGCCCCGGGAACCCTCGCTCGCCCGCAGCCGCACTCACTGAGCATGTATCCGATCATGAGCATCTGCTCGAACGTGAAGCCCACCAGGAAGCGCAGCGCAGCGAACATGGCGAACGAGTTGCTGAACGCAGACACGACGCCGGCGACGCCCCCCAGGACGTTGGTGAAGACGATGAGCGGAAGCCTCCCCCACGCGTCGGCCGCCCACCCCAGCGTGGGCGTGCCCACCATAGAGCCCACGAAGAAGAGCGACTGCGCCAGCGCCGGGCGCCAGTCCTCGTCGCACACCCAGTCCAGCTGGCGAGAGAGGCGATTCGCGGATTAATCATATGAGCGGGTGAATATTGTGTAACGGGGTTTTGAACCGAAATTTGAGTGGAATTTGGCATTTTAAAAAAATCGTAAAAATGGGCTGAACGATGTTGATGATTCTGTAAAGTACTGCTTGAGTGAATTATGCACCAGAATCCATTTCCTCAAAACTATGTATTCTAGTTTTTTTCTTTCTTTTATTTTTACTTGCCCACACTTATTCTATACAAAATAATCCAATATATATATGTATATATATTTTTTTTCTGTACCTTCAACAAACAAAATGCTATCAAGCGAAAATATAATTCTACAACGAACAGTAATAAGGATAAACTCTAAGATAAAATACCTGAGAGGTGATGGTTGGATAATAGAAAGAATAATTGTAGGTCCATCCGTGGGTGCAGGGGGTGAGGGGCCACGAAGGGCCGGGCCAGGGCGTGTCACTCTTCAGAACCTGAAGGGAATAAAGTCGTTATTTCATTACTATATTACTTTATTATTATTATTCGAAAGCCATTGGAATGAAAGGGCAGTCGGCATATTACTTAAACATGAATGATATAGCCAAAATATGTCAAAATTATATTTACAGATAGATCGCCATCAAAAGTCATGGTAACTTCCTAAGGGAAACTTCACTGAAAACTACCTCCGTGAAGTTGACATCGTATCTTTGGCAGGCGAGGAATTCCTTTCCGTTGGGGTGCCTGGGAATGGTGAGGTTCTTGAGCTCCTCCTGCGTGAGGTTGAGGCCCTCGAGCTCCGGCGGGGCGCGGCACCAGTGGGGCGGCGTCAGCGTCATGAACAGCTGGCCGAAGTACACACAGCAGCACAGGACGCACAGGTAGCACGTGGCGGCGAAGAGGATCTGCGGAAAAGCTGCATAAGTGAAAGAGAGCAGCTGCATGCGGGTTGGGATGAAGATGGACTGCCTAGGAATGACTGCGTTCTTCGGATGTAACAGTAGAAACAATTAAATATATGTGAATTGGATATAGACTTTCCAAATAGTGTCTTTGTAATAAGCAACCTCCCAACAGCGAATGATGTTGAATATTATAAAGGCCTTGACGTAATTCTGATGATCATGCGCGAATGCATTCTGATTGTCAGATCAGATGTGATCGTATTCTGAAGAAATTTAATTGGTTTTGAACATGAATTGTCTTATGCATTCACCAGTCGTTTTTTTTTTTTTTTTTAAGAAGCGACCTTCTAACAGAGAATACTGTCGACTATGATAAAAAATCTAACTTGATTATGGTGAAGTGAAAGGGAAAGTCAAGATTCTCAAATCGTATATGTTCTTTTTTTACATTCGCTCACTAACAGAACTGATTGACTATATTGCGCAGCTTTTGCAGGCAAGAACAGCTGCTCAGAGTAAATGTTACTCATCTATTAACTAGAACCAAAACAGATGAAGCCTATATCAACTGCATCAGCTATTAACTATATCAAATAAAGCTTCAATAAGCAGTCAGTCTGAGTCGAACTGACAGTAGAAGAAAGATCATATGAAATGTTCTCATGAAGTGAAAAAAGATCTTGCCTGTATCATATCTCGAAAAATATGTTGCATACGTTTCTAGATATATTGCAATGCTGTTCAACGCGTTCTTGCAAATATAAGAACGCTGCTATGAAGGGCACCAAATGAGCAACTCCGCGACCTTGATGTCCAGGCGATCTTTATTATGACAGATCGTTCGATAAAAGGCTAATGCTTGGAGTGCCAGAAGCAGCACATGATGCGTAATTATGACATTATCCGAGAGTAGGATGTGTCATTCAAAGTTTGATAAACTGCAATCGAGGCAGTTAGACAATTTGACGGTCAGATAATTAGGCAGTTAGACAACCTGACGGTCAGAAAATTAGGCAGTTAGACAATTTGACGGTCAGATAATTAGGCAGTTAGACAATTTGACGGTCAGATAATTAGGCAGTTAGACAATTTGACGGTCAGATAATTAGGCAGTTAGACAGACAGTTAGCTAGCAAGGGACACGTAGGGCAGCCGGACGAGATGCTCACGGATTGGTACCATCCGAAGCCGCCGATGTAGTCGAAGACGGAGTCAAAGTCGGGGATCAGGACAGCGGCTTCCTCGGGCGGCGGCGTCGGCGTCGGCGGCGTCGGCGTCGGCGGCGAGGCTGGCCGCTCGTCCGAATCCCCAGAGCTGCGGGTCTTGGCCATCCGGTCTGTCTGGGAGAAAGGAACCGGCTGGTGCTTTAATAACCGACGTGCAAGAAATTGTTGTTTGTTTGTTTTTTCTTCTGTATTCTTATCTTCTAATGCTTCCTCACTATTTTCTTCCGATTTTTTCATGTTTATATTTTCTTAATTTTGGATCAGTTTCTTTGAAGGGTGTGTGAAAAGCGGCGAAGGTTTGAGTTATACAGATATTTCAAAGGGATGGAAAACGAAAGCCGTAACTGAGAAAGACATCAATCAATTGTATATTCAGTTGTGATATTTGTCTTCCTGTGTGCGCATGAGTATATACTGGCGAACAAATATATATCCTCACACATAGACACCTTCCTCTGTGTGTGTGTGTGTGCATATATATATATATATA